AAGTTTTGGTGCTCTTTGACCCAATTTTTCTTGTAGAAACTGGTAAACCTGATAGCTTAGAAGGAAATATTTCTTCTCTTGCTGATGTGCTGTCAACGGGGGTTATTATAATTGCCTTATTCGAGCTCTATGAGAGCTCGCTACAAAGCTCACTCACTCTTCACTCTTACTGTGAGAATCTGACAGAGACTATTCTTGCTACGATCTATATTGATCTCAAACGACGTGGAATGTCAGATGATGAGATTGCTGTTATTGATACATTCTGTTCGCAGTTTGTACTTCATATATTCAACGAAATCTTGCCAACACGGAATACATTTATTATTGGCGACTTCCTGTATTCCAGCGATATTCAGAAAGGTATAATTTTAATTTTTGTTCTATAAAGGAATCGATGGTTTTTTGTCTGCACTTCAAATGCTTGCTATATGAACTAATTTCACGAAAGCTCCTTTAGCAGTAAAACTCACGCAAATTTCAGAAAATCGAGTAATCGCCACTGATTCACTATCTGGATCGCTACTGTCGACCCCAGTATCTGCTTGTTACGAAGTTTTGAGGATGGAAATAGAATCTCCTGATCTTTATGAGAGTAGCATTTCTCCTTCATTGAGCAGAATGGGGGAGAAAGATTCTGTGCAGCTCTCTGGAGCCCCAGCAGAATATCCAGGCTGGCACAACCAGCCCCTTCTTGAACGTAGGGAATTCTTATCTGACTTGGAATGCATCCGCACAAGTATGGAACAGACATCACGAACTGAAGAACCATATGGCATCGATGATTTAAATCAACTACCACTTGATGTTTCCCTGGTTGAAACCGAGGCACTTCCGAAAGACAAACCTTTTCCACGCGAGGTATTTTTACGAGTTTACGAGTGTAAGAAGAGTCTCGACAAACTATTTGGCAACAAAAGAAGGAAGATGGGCAATTAGCAATGTTTATTTTGTTGTAGTAATTTCATTAATAAACAAGGAGTGTGAACACTATCTTCTCTAATAGTTCGTTGCTGCGCCAATAGTACTGCCTAGAATTTTGAGAAAAAAGTTTTAGAGCATTTCGGGTTCTTTACTTCTAGTACTAAAATAGGAACGGATTCTCAGCGTTTCAGAAATGTGTAATTTGACTGCTTGTGCAACTTTGTATGAGATGCGTTATAATATTTGCTGATTCTAGTAGTGTGAAGCTGTGCAAATCCAGCTACAATTTATTTATTTTTCTTACATATTTTGTCTTCACTTCATTTCTTTTTGCAAAAATTACTTATCTTGAATGCTAGCCTTCCAAACTCTCAAGTCATAAAGGCGACTATAGTGCTTTATAATATAGATAAATACAGGAAATTTTGAGAGCGAAGTATGCTCCAAAAGTTATCAGTTGCTTTTTCCTTCACGTAATTATGTACCAAAATGCACATTATGGTACGTTTTAGGGCATTTCTTCCAAGAACGAAGACGTTTTTGCCAGCGAAGAAAATATAAATAGAAGAGATGATGTTGGACCACCGACGAAGCCGTCTCTACCATCGAGCAATATCGAGGAGGACTTATACTGGAAAGCAAAACATTCAGGTAATGAACTTATGCAAAAGAACGAATATCAGGAAGAGAAGTATAAAAAGTGGGGTAGTGATTCAGAAAGTAATATGAGGTTAAGGGGGATAAATGAGAGAAAGAACAAAAATTTTATGAGAGTGAAAGGAGTAAGAAAGTGAAAAAAGACTTGAGTATGGGAAGAAACGGTTAGTTCACGCAAAGTTCATTACTTGCTTGTGAGTGAAAACATAGGGGAAAGCCACTAAAAACACTTAGAAGAACATCACCATATGAAGCACCTGGAAGTTCTTTAGCGCGAACAATGTGTGCGAAAGCACGTGAAGTACGAACCGTGCAGAACGAACTCGATCGTAGTTCCGACGCTCAAAAAATGGTTGGAAAACGCTATTTTGGGGCGCATCTACAAAGACTCAACCACAACGAATATGCGAGGGAAGTGCCAGAAGCCACAACTGGAGCAGATCAAGAAATGGCCTCCGCTCTAGCCTCTCCAGAGGAAGGCTTACCCATATACGAGAGGTCGTCACCACTGTTGGAAGAAGATGAAACTGCAGCCATGTCCAAGATTACTCTTGACGAAGACCATGACATGGTTGCAACACAACAGGGAATTACTGAGCGGCCTCCTTTGCCACGAAGCTTTGTTATAGAAGAGGAACTGCTAACGCAGGAGGAACTTGACCATATTGCTGCAGTACAGCGAGCAGCTGAGGAAGCCTCATATGTGATTTCAAAGGCACAAGAAATCACGAGGGAAGAGTCAGAAGCCACATTTGGAGCAGATCAAGAAGTGGCTTCCGATCTAGCTTCTCCAGAAG